ATAGAGGCCTAGCTACCACACCGGCTTCTACAGAAATACGCCTGGCTTTCATAAACGACATTACAGTAAGTCATCCAGTTCGCACTCACCCACTTCAGTTGGTGCTTGCAGACGTGTTAGACACATACAGCCAGTCAAGTACACTTGCAGGGATCTTTTCTCAATGGGGAGTAACGGCTGGCCATAATACCTACAATACATACAGAATAACAATGGTGAACATAGCAAAAGGGAAAGGCATTCAAGACCTGCAGCTCCATGTATACATGCCGAGTGTAAGCGTGGTGTCTGTGGACAAAATCGACAAAGAGGTACCCTGGCAACAAAATGTAGTGCCAGGATGCCAGCAGAAGGCTACGTGGCACACCAGTCCAACATGTAAATCAACTACCATCCAGTTGTCACATTAGAGCTCAATTGTTGAAGTTCCACGGCCATTTGCCTGCCACATGCCAATCACAACAAGCACTGAGGAAGAAACTGAGACAAAGCGACGTCGAAGCAAAACACTAACACAGACAGGCGGGTTCCCCACACAGTGAAACTTCAGTATGAAGTACTAGTAGTACCAAGAGTCCATGACGTCAAGAGTATGCGACTGCACGTGGGTTCTGGCACTGCGCTCGGCCCACATTACGTATCCACGAACTGGGGAATCAGCCCATAGTCCGCAAATCAGAGTTGCACGCTTGTGGGTTGTGGGGTTGGGTTATGCGGACACCTGACAGTATGGATATACATGTAACATACTACGGGATATAAAGTACTTGTACTATTATGCAGAACCTTGCACCATGCAATACGTTATATCGGTACAGACCAATTTGGTATTGGAGGTTTGCTATACAGTGTACTGAAGTATCACTGCAATGCTGAATTGCCAATACATGTACATGTAGTGGAACATGAAGCTGTACAACCAGTTGACGTGTATTTGTGACGAAATCACACTACGACTGCAAGACTCAAAATGTACAACAAACATGTAATTTGATGGGGATCTTTCACCGAGGAGTCAGGTGATGGCGGTGCCGTAAAACCTACACGTGGAATTCAGCTGAACTGGAATTGTTGTCTCTGGAGTATTGCTTTAAAATTTAAGCAACAAAATCTACTATCAACTACCCACCTCTTCAAGGTAGGGATGGTGAAGAACCAATGACCTAGTCATGGTGTGAGGCTCTGACAAACATCTTGCAGCAGTCAGACAGCCTGTCACAGACCTGACAAAAGGCTGTGGGTGCAAGTCCGGCTGCAGGATCATACAATGCGAGTGCAAAAGGCAAATCTGTTATGCAGGCCAGGGCTAAAATGCCACACTTTCAACAACACCTCCGTGAGGGAAGAATGCGACAGTTCCAGTAAGCAAAAGGTTGTTTCATTTGAGGAGACTGAAAAGCAAGAAACCAGCAACGAATTGGACCAAGATTGAGTCAATGTGCACACAGGTGATGCGTGCATGTTCTTGTTTACTGGAATTATGGCGTATATGCTAGAAACATGGAATGCGCTACGAATTCTGACCTGAAATACACAAATATACACATTTGCCTGAGTTTCAATGAGCATGGATAGACGTGGAACACAATACTTCCACTGAAAATGGTGATATACCGGAAACACAATCCATCTGCTGCTATATGGGCGAGAAACTATTGTAACCTGGGATATTTTGAAACTTAGGTGTGATGAAATGTCACTTTCGTGGATTTTACACGTATCACAAAAAAATTCTTTCATTTCGTGCCATTTGAGTTAGCAGTGGGTCTGGACATAGACATAACCAGATCTTTACACAGGTTGGTTGGGACTATCTTTCTGCTATCTCGGATATTGTGTAAGATGTGATGGAGTCCATTACTGGCTGAACACCAAAGGAGGGAGGAAATTTCTACGACTGTACTGTAAGAAAACGACAACACGAAACTTCCCAATGGCTCAATAGCTGACCCCAAAAATATTACGGATCACTTTAGTACTTACTCAAGTCACATCGAATCCCTTATCGGCGGGCTCCAGGCTGTGGAACGCCTCCAGTGGGTCTGAATGTTCGACAACGTCAGCCATTACTTCTTCACGGAATCGTCATCTTCACCTCTGTACAAAATGAGCTGACCGGGATAATAAAAAACGGCTTTTTTTCGCTCTGGCGCATCGACTGTTCCCGCCGCGGGCATAATCAGGCCATCAGGACCGTTTGACGTCATTTCGGGAGTTTCAGGACCGTTTGACGTCATTTCGGGAATGTTCGGACCGTTTGACGTCATTTCGGGAATAATTTTTCGACCTTTCGACCTTTCGACCTTTGACCTTCCCTAATATGTTGCTTCGCAATGTAAGAAATCAAATCAAGCACGCTCTGTCTGTCATGATGGCTGAATCTTGCCCTTGCCTGCAGCCCTCGGGCCTACGGCCCTTGGGCTGCAGGCTCGGGCAAGATCCAGCCATCATGACCTCCTGAGCGTGCTTGATTACATACATTAGGGAAGGTCAAAGGTGGAAAGGTCGAAAGGTCGAAAAATTATTCCCGAAATGACGTCAAACGGTCCGAACATTCCCGAAATGACGTCAAATGGTCCTGATGGCCTGATTATGCCCGCGGCGGGAAGATCGCCTATTGGCCATGGCCCCGGCAACGATCACGTGTCATGTAAGAAAAGTTGATTATGGCCCCGGTATCCAGGTAACGACGCTAAGATCTGGACTACACTACAGTACCACTGCATGTAGATTGTAGACTAGACGGTAGACTAGAGGTCAACAGGTCAAACCGGGGTCGGATTTGCAGTGTACGGCACGTATTTTTACTGTTTCGCTCCCTGTTTTAGCCCTGGTGAGTGGTGGCCGGCCAGCGCCGCTGGCGCCTGGCGTGCCCCGGCCCGGCCGGCCCCAGCCTGGCCCAGTCACTGGCCGTTGCTCTATTTGGACATCAGCGGCGCCGCCCCGATATCTCGTGCCGTCGTGAAAGTGTTTTTTTTTTTTTTTTTTTTTTTACTATGTTCACACTCCCAGCTCGAAAATAATAAAGAAAGACAATGATACTGAGACTAGGACGAACGTGACAACTATTGAGCAGGGGCTGCACCGAGACGCAGCAGTGATGGTGGGGCATTGATGGCTCTGCCGACCTGAGGTCTCGGCATCACGGCCAAAAACACGCACCAAAAACAAAAGATAGAGCTGTACGAGTCAGCAAAATGAAAAGAAAGGAAGGGTTAACATCAGCGAGTGTGCGGGAGAAACTGTGAGACTATTAACATTTTTTTTTGGAGAAGAACTGCATAGGATGCAGAGCGTGCCAAGACTGGGAGGCCGCAGACGAAGGAAAAGCCTGTATACAGGCTTTTCATGTAGTGTAGTGCTGTACGTGACAACAATAATTGTATAATTTATTTTTCCTTTAAAAAGGACTCTCCAGACTCGGGCCAGAGGCCGTTTAGGCCTATCGAGGAATGATTATGTGCATGCTTTGAATCTCGTTGAAAGAAATTCCGTACATGCAGTTAGCAGGCACTAAACAAAGATATTAGAGAGATTCCGCAAGTTAGTTGAGCAACTCAGTTAAGTGAGAGGAAAACTCGTAAATTCGCGAGTTTGCACTCCAATAGAGGTGAAAATCTCCTGTTTCGCGTACATTTTAGAGGCCAAGTTACACGTGCAACGTGTCGTGAATTTTTGCCTTCGCAAGATTCGGGTTTAGTTCGAACAGCAGAACTTTCTCACACACAGAATATCAAATCTTCCAACAAACTCCATAAAACTATGGATACTCACACTTATTCGACCGGGATGACGAAACGAAAGTTCCAAAAACCCTCGTCACAAAACTACGTTCGGGGCAGTCAACTCACGTAAAACACATCAAATTTTACGTGAGTTTTTGAATTTTGATGTAAAAGTTCATGGCCGTAAGAATTTTACGTTAAACTTAGTAGTAGTAGTAGTAGTAGTAGTAGTAGAAGTAGTAGTAGAAATTATTATTTTGATAGGGAAGGCCCTACAGACGTTGCCGTCTTAACCTCTCTACTTACGGAAAGTTGTCAACAGAAACTACGTAGATAGGGCTCTGATACCGTAGGCGCTCCGTTAAGTGGATCAGGGTACAAATGCATGACTCTCTCCCCAGGTCGACCCGGTCGTACACTGTCGTGTTACAAGTTGCCAAGGGCAGCTACTTTATTTGAAAACTCCGTATGGCAGAACACTAGGCTTTCCCCAAATCGGCCCGTTTTTTCGCCTATTCGGCTTTTCGCTTAGCTCAAAAATACATCAGATTCGGCTGCAAAATCAACTGATTGTTCGAAAATCGGCTCCAAAATTTGGAATATAATTATTGGAAAATCGGCTAAAAGAATTGTTGGCATATCGGCTTCAAAATGGGTGAGATTTTGGAAATACAGTTCTGCTACAAAAAGTAGATGGAACTGGCCACAAGTGTACGTTGTAGTGCAGTATTTTACCAATAACGATCTTCCTAATGGCTAATGTTTGTTTGAGAAGAGGTCAAAGGACACGAGTCACACGGGCTCAACACACTAGTACTACAAGTACTGAAGTAGAGAGCTCGAGCGGTCAGGCATGTACTGCTGGTGTTGCAGCAACATCATTGCAACAACATTGCAGGCGATTCTCAAAGGAACCCTCCATAATCGGCGAAAAGCTTATTAGCGATTTTCGATAAGTCTCGTTTTCGGCGAATTTTTCGAGATCTGCATGCGGCGTTCTCGGATCTACGTAAGACTTTACGTAGATCGACTACTTTTTTTTACTAACGCAATTACGTTATGCGGAACCACTCGACTAGCCGCGGTGATTAACAGTGAGAGGTGGACCTTTCAGGTTCATCCATATCACTTTCTAGGTTAGAGGTCTGAGCAGTCTTTAAAATTGTGAGTTCCCGGTGCATTATTTTGTTATCATCTGAGAGACCAAGCAGAATGCATGCCAGGGACATGTGCTCTGCACCGTAGCTTGCAAGTAGGGTACATGTAGTAAAATCAATAACAATAGAAAAGAAATCAGACGAGAACAGCAACTGGGAAAATCAATGGAGTTGAACATTTCAAATTGCAGCGCCGCTGACTGAGCATAAGTGCTCGTGTGAAATGGTTGACTCACTTCATGTCCAGAGTCCATCGACCGAGTCTACCCGCATATCCTGATTGCAATCAATGCGGTGCACCACAAAACTACTATCATAAAATTATATCTTTAGTCAGCAGGACACTGAGAGAAAGAAGGTTTTCTGCCGCAATAGGTGGAAGAAGACATTGAAAAGGAATACTATAATAGTATTATGGTGCGGTGACTATACTGAAAAGCAAGAATAAGGTCTAAGCCTAACAAACAACCTGTCATGCCACATTTTACTTGCGTACTTGTGAGACGAATTTTGAGATTGAAAATGTGGTATAAAATAATATTCTGCTGTGAAGTGATTGTTATTTTGCCATGAAAAAAGAATCCCGTCAGTAGCCAGAAAGGTCAAGAAAATAGAGAATGACCCAGTGATCCCCGCTGGTAAGAAAAAGCATGCATTGGAGTTTGAACGTTTGAAATGCTTTCATTCGTATGGTGATGACATCCCTATGTCACAGTGAACAAAACGAAACTGCCTGTCATGCGAAGTAGTATTTTTGAAAGTCGATTTCCGCTTCAAAGCGATCAATGGACATGCCTGATTGTGAACTGAGAGTTCAAATGTTGAAGGGCAACTGACGCCAAACAATTAAAAAAACTCACGCCTAGCGTTAGACTTGATCCTTCGTTGACTGCATTTTATGATTGCCATGTACATGTACAGCTGCTGTTGGATCAACCGCATTCTCTGGCAAGGAGTGCATACTATCCTGGCGTCCCTGGCTTGCTCTTGGGTTTCATAGAGAAGCTCAGACTCCGCTTACCCTGAAGCGTCAGCGATGGCATTTGCGACTTGCTCAAATCGAATCTCATAGAAAAAGTACGGCCTGGTTTCGTCTGTGCTTGCGAGCTGCTTAGGTTGTTTTTGATGAAATCGGGCACGGCATAGATATCGGAGGCCTGGTGGTCTTCCTTTCTGGTGGAAAACTTCAGGCGGGGCAGCTGGGTTCTTTTGAAATTGGCAAGGGACATCCTGGTGGCTTTACCACGTAGCTCAGCGTACTGAGACTGATCGTCTCGCTGCTGGGCTTCATCCTCGCCGCAGCCGTCTGGTAGCACCATGATAGTAGCTCTCCTGTTCATTTCCCCAGCAGAAGTCACTATGTCACTGTAGATAGTCTCTCGTCCATGCTGCTGGCGACTGGCTTGGGTCGACGCTTCTTGAGAGTCGCCGCTGCCAGATGCGTACGCTGACCACTCGTGACCAAAGTTAGACCACGACGCTGCCACTGGAGGAGCATTGGCTCTGGGACTGTTCCAGCAGTTGGCAGGTGGTGGAGCAACAGAGGGCTGCGCGTCTAAACTACTATAGCCGGTGGACTCGTCAACTCCAAAGTCTCTGCCAGCGTCTGGGTCGTCACGGTGGTCCAGGCATGGCGAGTGCGGAGCACCAAATTCCTGCACTGGGGCCGTCTGATCTTGGGGATCGGAGAAGAACTCTTGGGCATTGGTACAGACTGACTCCCTGACAAGTAGTGCGTACTCTTCATCTGATAGCTCCTGTTTCAACGATGATGACTCCAATTGTGCTTCCTCGCTATCATCGGTCTCATCTGTTTTCAGTGCGCTACCGCCTTCCAGGTGGTAAACGGGACCATGCACGTCTTCAGCAGGCAAAACAATTGCTGTGTCGACTATGGATGACGGCAGCGGATTCAAAGCTGGCTTGCTCACCCTCCTTGCCCTGCTCTGAACTTGGTCTGGCTCAAGCATATGATATGTAGGCTCAAGAACAGTCACGTTGCTGGCTACGACCCCATCGCAATCATCGCCATCCTCCGTCCCCAATTCCCTGGGTGTTTGCATGCCACTGTACAAGCCTTCCGGTGACGCCAGCTCATGGGCATCGCTGTAGCTATCGGCGAGCGAGCTCTCGAAGCTTTTCGTAGTGCAGTCTCTCCTGCAGGTGCCGTAGCCCAGGCCCGGCGAACACGGCGCACTACTCCCGTACAGGCATTCATAGACGGTGCCACTACCGCTGACTCTACGGCTCACTTTGCTCTTGCCTTCACCGCCGCTGCTACTTATCGTGTCCCTGATGCCAGCACCGCCAGCGTCAGAAGCAGGGCCACCGCCAGGCGCAGCATCGCCCTCCAGCTCCAGTTCGCAGTCGGGTGACTCGTGGCACGTATCCGCGGAAAGAGCAGATCGACTCGACGGAGAGGGCGGCGGACGGTTTCGGAAATTGCTTGGCACGGAGTAGAGAGTGGGGCCTCGGCTTTGAACAGAGTCACGGCACCGGCTTTGAACCGAGTCACAGCACCGGCTTTGAACCGAGTCACAGCACCGGCTTTGAACCGAGTCACGACACCGGCTTTGAACCGAGTCACGGGCTTGCGGAGCTACATACTGCTTTGTTGCGTTCTCCGTTGTTTCTGAATACATTCGTTCGCGATGGTCCAAGTCAGCACTAAATACGGACACGTTGGGAATTCTGCTAATGTTCAGCTGGTGACTCATCTTGCGAAGCAGTCGTCTCCTTCTCCTATTGATAATCATCACGATTAGCAGGGCTATGGTGCTCAGCGCGCTCATACTGGATGCTATGGCAACTGCCAAAGATTCCGATGATGCTTCACCGCCTGCAACAAACATACAAACACACACATACACACATACATGTGCTCACACAAACTCGTACGCACAGGCAAATATAAGCAAGCTCACGCATGAACATAGACACACGTGCACGCGCAAACACATACACACAGGCACACACACACACACACACACACACACACACACAAACAAACTCACGCACACCTCCACATCCACACAAACACACGCGCACACGCGCGCGCACACACACACACACAGAATTCACCAACAGACATGTTTTGTTTGCAGACAGTTGGGACTCTGTGTAAGGTGCACATTCAGACATTACTATGCGGTTGCAATGTCAAGGTGGAAAATTCCGCTGCAAGTCTGTGTTTAATGTTTAGATGACATCAGACCACTGGTGGGTGCAGGCAAGCTATCCCCACATCATTTAGAGGGAGAAACAGTGGTAAGTATACAAAGCAAAGATTTACCGAACGCAAGCAGCATCTGCTGCTTCATCCCCGTAGCTACCATTATACACACATTTTGTTGAAATTTGCTGAAAGAGTTGACTACGTGGTTGACTCGGAAGTTAAGCAGAGGGATGCTCTAAACCTTTTACCGGCAGCTCCATACTTAAATGCGTCGTAAACGACGCATTCGACATGCATACTAAAACCATGCCTGGTATGACAGGAAGCATCAGCCCACGGGGATTTCCCGTGGCCCACACACAGCCTAGGTATGATCCTATTCGTAGCTGAAGAGATCTACGCGTGTCCCATTTGATTTCATTGAGAACTGCGCGATCAAAAACTTACGGAATACACGCACGCCGGCAATGCCGTCTGCCTCCGTCAAAACGTCGTCAGGTGCATTTCCTCTTGCGCAGTGAGTTCTTTTCGTCCTCAGATGACTTCTCCGACGAGGACCTATCAGACCTTCGCTCTGGGACCCACGACAGATAGATAAATACTTTGTTCCAGCCGCCGATGCAAGCGAATTTCAAATTGCGGAGCGCACGCCAAGTAAATTCTCACGCAAATATTGGGAGCTCCAGCCGCTGAAGACAATGTCGTCGTGATGTACCTGGAAGAATCTGATGGTGCTTATGGTGGGGAAGCCATGAAGAGTGATCCCCGTGTCGACAGTCTCCCAGAGGCGGAATTTTAGGCCATCGACTTTCTACGTACCTGAGTGACGACAGCGTAGCATGAATTGCGCACGACCTTACGGAGCCATCGGACAGCGATTTTGGGGCGATGCTGCTCTCAATTGCGAGCGAGGCACGGCCACTGAATTCTGTGATGGCTATGGCGTTCGTTTCCGCTCCGAAGTTGATTTGTTTTGGTAGTATCATGTCAATGTCGGAGTCTGACGATTTGCATTATGTGCAATTTCCGTGTTTAGACGTATAGGTGCCAATTTAGCAGCGTATGTCTGTAGTATGTGAAAATATATTTTTTTCCATGGTCAAGAAGTAGTACTAGACTTCCAAGAAAACATAACTTGCACATACAAAATGTGCTCTCGTTGTGAGTTATTGGCATCCTTCTCAATGTTATGGATTTCATATACAAATTGCACTTGCCGGTAAAGGGTTAAGGCACCGTGTGAAGGTGCAAATATAAAAAAGTTCATTAGCATCTACCATGCGTACATATTAGTAGTGTATTAACATATTAGGAACTGCAAGGCATAGGGACTTTGCTAGAGGTGATGGCCGTGAAATTTGAAATTGATATTGGTCTGTCTAAACTCACCAATACATTCTGGGGTGTGACTGAAAAGAGATCGTCCTGCCATGCGCACCAAGCACTTCATCGCAGTGGAGTTGGTCAGCGCGAATCCAGGATCGCAGGTGATGCTGTAGTGTGATGACCGCTGTCGCAGTGTATCTCTGAACACACCCGATCCCAGTGCAGTGCCGTGTGCAATCACGGGAATATCACATGTTGGAACTGCACACACACACACACACACACACACACACACACACACACACACACACACACACACACACACACACACACACACACACACACACACACACACACACACACACACACACACACACACACACACACACACACACACACACACACACACACACACACACACACACACACACACACACACACACACACACACACACACAAACACACACACACACACACAACACCACCATTACCACCACCTTTGATCATCTCCATACATATAGCCATGGGATACTCGTCTTACTTTCCCGAAACCGGGCCGAACTTTAAAAGCCCTCTCCATAAATTAACGTTTCTATTGTCAAGAAAGAATGGCATAGTGCTGGGATATACAGGTGTTTCCACAAAATGTGCGACACACCAGGACAATAGGGCTAAGCTTGGGATGATGATGCCTGTTTTGATTCCCACTTTAATTTAAATAACGTATACGACAGCATGAATGTGGCACATGGGATTTTGACCTTTGGCCTCTGGTTAGTGGACCTGATCTATCCTCCCCCACCGTTTAGGAGCCGCATCTGACACCTGATCATGGGGTAGTGGTTTCCCACGGACGCGGAAAGGTGGTTCTTGACCTACCCTGTACTCCAACCGTCCAATATTATAATATATCCCATAAGAAGATAGTATAAAGTCAAGACCAGACAGCACTGCACAGTTCACTCGTCATACCTGTTATGCTGAGCGACAAGGTACTGTTCCGCAGTCCACCAGATGTTCTGACAACAATAGTGTAATCACCCACTGCTTCAGAAACTACACTGATATCCACTGTCAGATTAGACCAGAAACAGCCATTGCTATCATTCAGTGAGGTGATCACCTTCCCACTGCCTATACCTCCACTGGCCTTAGTACTCCAAACTACCGTATTGGCTGATGACGGTGCTGGCTTGATGGTAGAGTTGATGCACATGGACAGAACTGCTGACTTTGTGCCATCATCCTCACTCACAACCAGTCCACTGCTTCCAATAGGAGATGACAAAACAGGGCCACCTGGAGAACAGTAGAAGCACACAGGAATGTACCATACTTCGCCGATTATAAGTCACACTCAATCAGAAGTGGCACCCACATTTCAGGCTTGTGTAACTCGTATACTCTCAGCACTCAAAGCACATACTTGTTGTTACGTAAGTAGTTATCATTCGTTCATTGTCTCACAAGGAGAAGAAGAAGACAAGGCAGTGCGAGTATGCGCACAGCCTATCCAAAGTAGCCATGCTACACTTGTCCCATATTGCTGCACATCCGAACCAGTTCCGCTATTTTACGTTTCGAATGGCCATCGTCAGGTAATAAGGACGTGCAACTCTGTGGAAATGGGTGTGTCCACCCACATTCCTTTCAGAGATGAAGCTGCAGGAAGCCTCAGCCCTTCTTCAGACTTGTCCCACATTGTTTCAATATAGTCATGTAGGCAGGATGTCACCGCCGATTGTAAGTCGCAACCCCCCCCCCCCCCTCTTTGCGCCTGACGTTGAGTGTAAAACGGTCAGACGTATACTGGGGGAAATACGGTAATGCCTAGACTGTGGGGCTGCATAATAAGTTTGGTCTTATTGCTGTAAGCAAATAGTTCAGGGCCAGGCTTCTATTGCCACTCAACTTTCAGCAGGGGTTTTGGAACGCATCTCAGGATGCTATGGTCAGCTATTAATATTACCGTATTTCCCCGTAAGTTAGTTCTCCCCAATGACTTAGTAACCCCCCCCCCCCCCTATAAAAAATACACTTTCCACTGCCGAGGTTATCACCCCGAAAGACAGTTCCCCCGAAAGATAGTAAGTTCGTACCCGTCCTACATGTACAGACACCGTACAGTACATACATCAAATGCACGGACCGTGACTAGAGTTGCGCAGGCTTCCCACTGCGTGTCATTTACCCCCGATAAAAAAGTACTCCCCGAAAGATAGTACCACCCCGAAAGTTAGTACTCATGTGGCTGCTAAGTTCGAAAGTTAGTACGTACTAACTTACGGGGAAATACGGTATTGCAGGTGCCAATTTGGGGCCCTACTCACATAATAATAATAATACCTATGTCAACGTTTAGAGCATAATATTAATAATCATTGTATTTCATTACAGACGATGGATGACAACGATGCGAAGTGGTATGGTCCACAACGCAGTCACCATAGCGTGCCCGACACCCCTGGCTAGCCGCTTGAAACGAATTCATTCTTCACATGTCAACACTGAGACCAGGCTGATGTGCCAATGGTGATATTGAAACTCAAGCTCAGTGTTATCTTTCGGACTAGCTTGCCTTAACATTGTTGACAGATGCGCCAATCCTGCCCCCCGACAGGTGCAAAGAAGACGTGACCTGCAACCGCGTCCAGTCGAGTGAAATACCAGAACTGCAGTTACATCCTGCAAGCAGCAAATCATGGCTGGCATGTGGCCCATGGCTGCATGTGTACATTTGGTTTACATGCGGCCATTCAAGATATGGTTCGCTGTAAATGGAAACGGTTCGCTATAAAGTGTCAATTTTGTATGGGTTGAAACAGGGACATGGACGTGGACACTGGTTTGCTATAACATCACAAAAGTAGCTGTACACGAGTTTATCGTAAGTAGAGTCGACTGTGTGTACTTCCAAGTATGCACGTGTTACCGGTATCCATTCTGAGACACGGGCTGTACATACAAGGTAGTACGGTAGAGGTTTTGCGTATTTGGCGGTATCCCCCCCCCCCCCCCCACACACACACACACAAACACGCACATACCTCAAGTAGATCACTGACTGTCGGAATGGTACTATCCAGGGTGAAATCATAACCGGCCGACGGGTGCCATTTTATGAAATACATTCAGTGTGTGATGAAGCAATTACGGTTTTAGTCTGATACTGGAAGAGCTAGCACGCGTAGTGGAACCGATTTGCGACGTACACACGAAACACAAAAGAAAACTCAGACTGCAATGCAATCTCTGGACACACTTCTGCTGACATGTACTGCTGATAACACGGGTGGGGGGGGGGGGGGTGGGAGGCATTTCCTCATGTCCCCAAGCATTCGTGTTAACCGTGATCGTGGCTGCAGTTCTGCTATCATGTGGACAAACTTTGCGTTCGGCTCACCTGCCTCCAAGTCAGTAACTCCACTTCTGACATCATTGAAGCCATGCACAGGGTACACACAGGTGCCTGGCAAAAGAAGACAGAGGATTAACGGCAGTAGCCGTTGGGCCTGGGAGACGAAACAGATGCGAAATGCACGTTAAGGCACAGCAGCATGCACAAGTGTTCGTACACACATACGCAGCCACGTCCACATACACACACACACACACACATACACACACTCACATACACACACTCACATACACACACATACACACACGCACACATACACACACACACACACATACACACACTCACATACACACACACATATACACACACACACACACACACACACACACATACACACACACATATACACACACACACACATACACACACACACATACATACCACAGGCACGCAGAAAACAGCGTCAGTATCAGCATCAGACTCAGTAACAGGAGCATCATCAACAGCAGCAGCATCAGCAGCATCAGCAACAGCAGCAATGCAGCAGCAATGCAGCAGCAGTGAAAGCACCAGTAGCGGCAAAGACAGCATGAAGAGAGACAGCATGAAGAGAGACAGCATGAAGAGAGACAGCATGAAGAGAGACAGCATGAAGAGAGACAGCATGAAGAGAGACAGCATGAATAGAGACAGCATGAAGAGAGACAGCATGAAGAGAGACAGCATGAAGAGAGACAGCATGAAGAGAGACAGCATGAAGAGAGACAGCATGAAGAGAGACAGCATGAAGAGAGACAGCATGAAGAGAGACAGCATGAAGAGAGACAGCATGAAGAGAGACAGCATGAAGAGAGACAGCATGAAAAGAGACAGCATGAAGAGAGACAGCATGAAGAGAGACAGCATGAAGAGAGACAGCACGCAGAGAGACAGCATGAAGAGAGACAGCATGAAGAGACACAGCATGCAGAGAGACAGCATGAAGAGAGACAGCATGAAGAGAGACAGCATGAAGAGAGACAGCATGAAGAGAGACAGCATGAAGAGAGACAGCATTTTAAAGAGAGACAGCATGAAGAGAGACAGCATGCAGAGAGACAGCATGCAGAGAGACAGCATGCAGAGAGACAGCATGCAGAGAGACAGCATGCAGAGAGACAGCATGCAGAGAGACAGCATGAAGAGAGACAGCATGAAGAGAGACAGCATGAAGAGAGACAGCATGAAGAGAGACAGCATGATGAGAGACAGCATGAAGGGAGACAGCATGAAGAGAGACAGCATGAAGAAATACAGCATGAAGAGAGACAGCATGAAGAGAGACAGCATGAAGAGAGACAGCATGAAGAGAGACAGCATGAAGAGAGACAGCATGAAGAGAGACAGCATGAAGAGAGACAACATGAAGAGAGACAGCACGCAGAGAGACAGCAGGAAGAGAGACAGCATGAAGAGAGACAGCATGAAGAGAGACAGCATGAAGAGACACAGCATGAAGAGAGACAGCATGAAGAGGTACAGCATGAAGAGGTACAGCATGAAGAGAGACAGCATGAAGAGAGACAGCATGAAGAGAGACAGCATGAAGAGAGACAGCATGAAGAGAGACAGCATGCAGAGCGGCAGCATGCAGAGAGACAGCATGAAGAGAGACAGCATGAAGAGAGACAGCATGAAGAGAGACAGCATGAAGAGAGACAGCATGAAGAGAGACAGCATGAAGAGAGACAGCATGAAGAGAGACAGCATGAAGAGAGACAGCATGAAGAGAGACAGCATGAAGAGAGACAGCATGAAGAGAGACAGCATGAAGAGAGACAGCATGAAGAGAGACAGCATGAAGAGAGACAGCATGAAGAGAGACAGCATGAAGAGAGACAGCATGAAGAGAGACAGCATGAAGAGAGACAGCATGAAGAGAGACAGCATGAAGAGAGACAGCATGAAGAGAGACAGCATGAAGAGAGACAACATGAAGAGAGACAGCATGAAGAGAGACAACATGAAGAGAGACAGCACGCAGAGAGACAGCAGGAAGAGAGACAGCATGAAGAGAGACAGCATGAAGAGAGACAGCATGAAGAGAGACAGCATTAAGAGAGACAGCATGAAGAGAGACAGCATGCAGAGAGACAGCATGCAGAGAGACAGCATGCAGAGAGACAGCATGCAGAGAGACAGCATGCAGAGAGACAGCATGCAGAGAGACAGCATGAAGAGAGACAGCATGAAGAGAGACAGCATGAAGAGAGACAGCATGAAGAGAGACAGCATGAAGAGAGACAGCATGAAGAGAGACAGCATGATGAGAGACAGCATGAAGGGAGACAGCATGAAGAGAGACAGCATGAAGAAATACAGCATGAAGAGAGACAGCATGAAGAGAGACAGCATGAAGAGAGACAGCATGAAGAGAGACAGCATGAAGAGAGACAGCATGAAGAGAGACAGCATGAAGAGAGACAGCATGAAGAGAGACAGCATCACTGTCCTCTATCAGTACATTATGTTGTTTTTGTTGTGATTCGCTTGAAAGCGGCATGCTTCAAAGATGATTGGTGCAAAACTGTAGTTGAGTTCAAAAGTTAGCTGTCAGCCATAGAGAGGGTGAGGTTTCTGATCTTCCCTAGTGTGCATACAAACCTGGATAATGTAAGGGATTTTGTATGTTATAATTTTCGCGGATTCCAGTTTTTCTCCCTTCATTGTAATTTAAGCGCAGTTTAGCACGTATTGGCTTATAATTTCTTTTTCTTTTGTTTGTATTTAGCACTTCACCGGTTATTATTTTCCTTCTCTTTATTTTGCGCTACATATTATTATTTTTCTGGTTTAGAGTTCGTTTCTTGAGTAAAAAAGGCTCACTGCAACCATAAAAAAATTATAGTAATGTAAGGGATCGTCCATAAAATTAATATCGAACATTTTCACAAAACGAAGTATTATGGGGTGGGAGCGTTTGACCAATTTCGTTTCAGAAAACATGATACATTGCCATGTAAGTAGGACTAGTGACACACTTGTGACTTTTGTTCTATAAGCATGTATATGTCGACATTTTCTTTTTGGTTCTGAGGGAGACGGAGCTCCGTAGGGGTTTGGGGTTGAAACGAATTTAATTTGAATATCGATATTTACGGACGGCCCCTAAGAAGGCAGTGTTCTGCCCAGCTGGCCCATAGACAATATATCACAGCAGAAATGATGTAATTTGGAACTTGGATAATTATTAAGGGGTCATCGCAAAAGGTTGTCGTCCCTCGACGAACATTGTTCATTTTGTACTCGGACACCCGTCTGAAATAAATGCAGCTTGATATGCTGGACGATAAAAATTGCATGCATGTACATGTATAGTGTACCGTGTTGGTCGACTAGCGATTTTGCTTGGACCCCCACCCCCCCCCCCACCCCCGAAACGAATGATGTTCATTTCAGGGACAACAAAACAATTAACTTTTGCGACAACCCCCAAATACACATGTACTCATGGCTGCAAGAGGAAGAACAACATGACCTGGTTACATTGGTAGACGGTTAGTCATAAACCGTAACACTTTGTTCTTTCTCTTATCCAGAAATGAACTAGGGCAGGTTTTCCAGACGCCATGTGTACAGGAAAACCTTCTCTTGATTAACTTCTTAGCCAATTCATCGGCTCGCAGCAGCACCTACAATGAATGCGCCGGAGGAACATCAACTTGTGGCGTCAGGTCTACCGTAGTACTGTTCAAACACCACTACGAGTAGAATCAACCTCGCCAATAATTACCTAGGCTATAGCAATTAGTCGCACATTTCGGAATTATCGCCAGTGCCAGCCTCAATTTGATCACATATATTTTCAAGCTCGCGAATATCAATTCCAAATGCTCCAGGTGGTGTAAATCTCACTGTTTTTTTCTCATAGTAGCGAAAAAAAGGTCGTCGTGAGAATACAGAATTTAAACAACACTATAATAATTATTATCATGCCCGATCGAGGGTCCTTATCCTTATTGCCAGATTGAGTAAAACAGGTCTTGAGAAGTTAAAGGGGAAGTTAAGCCTATAATCAAATTTTCACCAGTTGTAGTCTTCGGGGTGCTGAGTCGAATGGTCTTGGTCCGAGGAAGCTGAGGCGCTCCCTTCCCCCTGTATTCCCAATCGAACTCGCGCACTTCCAACAAAACTGGGTGGCTGCGCCCTACTAGATGGGGATTTGTATGCAAAATCTCATTAAAAGCGCCATTTAGTTCTTATAAAAGCACGGATGACCGCGATTGGCCCATATGTTGTAATCTTTTGGACGCTGAGTCGACTGGTTTTGGTCCGAAAGGGCTGCGATGCAGCGTTCGGCCCTTATTCCCAATCAAACCTGGTTGAACAAGCGGTCACGTGCTCCTGCGTACACCAGTCACCTGGTCGCCATGCCAGCAGGCGACAACTTTCACACCAATGTTCAACTCAAAGGTTCAAAGGTTCTGGTGACTGGTGAACGCAGGAGCATGTGACCGCTTGTTCAACCATGTTCGATTGGGAATAAGGGTCGAATGCTGCATCGCAGCTTTTTCGGACGCTGCACATGAATGATTCCGGAAATCTGATGACTGTTCATTATGACGTCTGGCGCATAACCTTTTTATGATTATTATTTTTTTAATGAATGCTACATTGCTATAAGTATAGATTATAGACCGGTTAGGAGGTCTATAATCTATTTATCGTGTTCTCCACGCAATAGTTTCTCTTCATATACGACATATCCTTGTAATTTTAGTATTATACTATAGCCTATACCGCATTGTACGGCATTGCCGGATCAAGGTCATTGTTTAAACTAGGTTCAGCATCGGTAGCACAGTGGCTGGGTGGTAAGGAAGAGTGACTGAGATTCACATGGTTGTGGGTTCAAATCCCATCTTGTGTATTTCTGCTCTCTTCAAAAAATTCTTTTTCTAAGTTGGAGAGAAAATTTCTAAGTCCAAGAAATTCCAAGGAGTCAAATATATTGTGTATTTGACTAAGCAGTCAAATACGCGATATATTTGACCGCTTAGCGCGGTCACACATGCACTGGGATTCGCTTCGGCGACGAGGTTCGGCGGCAGCGAGCCTGGTGTCGCTCCAGCGAAACCACGTGTGTATGGTCACACATACAAACAGGGCACAACTCCTACTTTGGCGGAAAATGAGAGTAAAGTGGACTGTGGTGCATACGGTACGGAGAATAGACGAGGTCAATGAATATCTTGCACGCATTTTTGTTTCATGGACATCATACGCATACAAATTTCTCGTAGCAAATCCATATACAGCAGACCGTGGTGTTTTCCGCTGAAGCGAATCCGCAGAAGCGACAGTCTCGCTTCGAAAATTTTGGAGGAAGCGGTTTGGAGTTTCCGCTGAAGCGGAAGTTCCGCTTTTCGCCGTTGCCATGCCATTTTTCGCTCCTGCGACCTCGCTTCAGCGTATACGCTACTTTCGAGTGCATGTGTGACCGGGCCCTAAGGTATCAGGGAAATTAGTGGGGTCAAATACTAAGAAAGCGATAAGCATGAATACATGCTGGTTATGGATATCTGAGGACAATTGCAATTAGGCCCCGGCGGATAATGCTAGTTATTTTCGGCAATTATGCTACTAGCACTGCTAGTAAAAGTGGCACATTATGCTAGTTTTAATGCTCGTTATGCTCGTTATGCTCAATTTAATGCCACTTTATGGGGTCAAAAAGTGTCATGGATGGACTTCACGCAACTCCACTAACAGCAACACCATTAACAGCTGCACAGTCTGGGACCAAGGCAAGCACCTTGTGGCTTGGAACTTGCAGCTGTGTTGACAAAACTGTGATGAGCTCTCGAGCTAGTTCGGTACCAGCTAGGCTTTTGGACAGTACAGAGAAACGTACGAGGCGTTGGTGTATGTTGAAATTGCCATCGACGTAGCGGAGGACAACAGCAAGTGCCTCAACAAGGCGTCAAGTACCATCGAAAATAACGGTGAGATGAGCTGCAGATGCAATCTCCTTCTTGATGGTAGACTGCTCATTCTGCAACAGGAATGGCACCAACTGTGCCATGTGAGTGCTGTACGTCATGCGACAGTAGTTGCTTTCAAGCAACGGACGAAGGTGGTCTATCTTACTCAGAGGCACACCTGCTTTGAGGAAAGACTCTACAACACTGGCTCTTCGAATGAGGACATCATTGGCTACAGCACCAGACAGCCCTGTTCCTGCCAGCTCCTTTTTATGGTCTGTAGTGTACTTCTCCCACGAAGCTGTTAGCGCTCGCTGGTATAGCTGGGCTTGTGACTTTCGCTCTTTGTGCTTTGTGCTTTTGGCTCGAAATGTGTGATTTCACAATGCTGTTCTTCGGTTGAACTGTCTGGCTGCAGGCACTGCAGTAAATCTTCCCACTGGACACGGTCAAATATTCCCCTGGAAATCGCTGCACGCGATGGTGGACGCTGACACGAGGTGTCAATGTGGAACTTCCACCGGCAATTCGCCCACGCTTAGCGACGAACTCCTTCCCACTTCTCTGGAAAGATCGTTTTCGGGAAATCGCTGCTCTGGCTGGTTCGGGAAGACGTTCACACGCTGTCCTGACCTCGTCCTCTTCCGCCTCTGATTCTGATGCGTCTTCATCGACAAACTCGGAATCAAAGTGATCATCGCTACTGCTTACTAGATCAACAATGTCTCTGGCTGCTTGCTCGGACATAGCCATGACGTGTGTTCTTCATCAGCTAACAAAGAATAATAAGCAAAAGTTACTTAGTTGGTGGAAACGAAGCGCTCCCATTCTCACCGCCTTCTCATGTACACCCATCACAAGTTTTTTTTCCCCAACGCTTGTGCCCAGACTCCCGGCCAGAGTCATAGATCTACTACTAGTACAACTAATTATTTTACTTACAAGTACTAGTAGTCATGGTAGTAGAGGGCTACAAGATTTCAAGTGAACCAGTGTTGTCGGATGCAAACACAGTTCTATTATTAGTTTGCGTGTATATTTCTCTGCAATCGACTGGTCTCGTACGGATCCGATCGACCGTCCTCACCACTGCAGTCTGCACTGTCACATTATCATCATCATGCATGATCTGATCAAGGCTGCGCGCCCGCCTCGCGAAAATCCCATGTTTTGCAACAATATGCTAGTTTTCGCAAGAATATGCTAGTTTTCTGCAAAACCTGCTGATTATGCTAGTGCAATGCTAGTTTCCAGAAAGTGCTAAATATGCCAGATATAATGCTAGCATTATCCTCCGGGGCCTAATTGCAATGCAGTGCAGAGTGGCCAGGTGGTCATATACTCGCATATCTCTCTTATACGGACCTCCAAGTGACGGGTAATTGGGTCCATCAGGCACCCTGTGGGCGAGTGGTAGTAGAAATATTACAACTCTTCTGCCAATTTCTTTGGAAATAGTGACGTTATATGGCGGATCTCTGGCATTTCCCATGACACCGTACGTGACGCAGAGTTACGGATATTTCCAAGTCATGGACAGTGCCCGGGACGGTCCCGGACCGCCCGGATAACAGAGATGCGAGGGTAGCAGAGTTCACCAGAAGTGACGCCCTTGTCCCCCCCCCCCTCCCTCTTCAATATGTTGCCATTGTGTTTTCTGATTATGCTATCCAGAGTGCAGTGAGCAGTGAGGGTGAGCTGATGTGGGTCTGACCCACTCAGTACTGGTTCCATTGAGGCTGGGATTTGTCTGCCTGTAGAGCTATCGTTCTTCACGGTAACAACCCACAGCAATTTGTCATGCTCATCAGATTCTGCAAGGGACACTTTGTTACTTACCATCTGCCAGTCCCAGCGGACTCTGGGTCGATATCCGTCCGTACCGTGTGCTGTTGGCGGCGCTTTGGCCATTCACGGCTCTGTTAACTTACTGCTCCCTTGCGGGGATAAACTGATTTCTCGCATCCGGAAAGTTCTGTAGCCCATCAAGCTGAACTTCTTGTACATGCTCTGACGCCGGAGCTCACTAGTCCAACTAAGTTAGTTGTTGCATTGGCAGGCATGCCTCGTGTACCGTTAGCTGCAGTGAAGAATTGGCGGCGTCATCGAGGTAAGAACCTCACCTACTTGCTGCAAATAATTTGAAAATTGTAGTCTGAAGGTGATCTCAGTAGGGAAGAAGAATCACGGGCGAAGGATGCCAGCATTACACATCAATGCATCAATGAAAGGCATCGTTTGAAACTACTGGAACCGTTGCTTTGTGTGTGGTGACTTCAATTGTGGACTGAACGGCTAATAATAGTCCACTATCATACCAAAGAATCCTGAACGTGAGCTCAGACGAGGTACTGCTGCCATAACCGTCGCCAGGTAGAAACCTTTCACGGCACCCCAAGGCCTGGTGCGGAGTCGAACTAGCGCAAGAAGCTTCATCGAGCTCAGATTGGCGTTGAACGTACCACACATTGGTACGAGTAGATGGAAGAAGTAAAAATCGCACCGTTATGTCGAGTCAATTTATCACGTGTGATATCCGCCGGTGCCTCCACTGATATAGGAAGAGCGGCATGCAGCGTGTGAGTCCAGCACCCTGACTACAACTTAGTACAAGCATGAAGTCTGTACTTGTGTAACTCAAGCAAGACCCCAGCGAGCAGCATTCAGTAGCGATCCATTTCAATAATAATTGGCCTATTCCAGTATTGCTCGACAGCTTTCCATGCAGTACTCTAAGACCTGTACTACTAGTAGCCCAGTGTGATATGATTGCATGGGGCCACCCAACCCACCCAACCTGGGTTGCACCTCCACTCACCCACCCTGGGTGTACCCCGATCCACCCAACCTGGGTGTACCCCAACCCACCCACCCTGGGGTGTACCCCAACCCGGGTACCCACCCACCCTGCGGTGTAACCCAACCCACCCACCCTGGGTGTACCCCGATCCCCCCAACCTGGGTGTACCCCAACCCACCCACCCTGGGGTGTACCCCAACCCACCCATCCTGGGGTGCACCTCGACCCACTCAGGTGGTGAAGTCTGGACACAGCTCAAACACACCGAGGCCGCATACTCCCTTAAAGCACGCAGTGTATTGCAACACGAACGTGCAACTAGCTTCATAGCTTAGGAACAGGAGCGAAGAAAAGGTGCATCAAAACAGTAGAATATGGATGCTATGAGTAAACTCTAGCAAACAACCAGAAACTTTGAGCAGTACAAATGTTTGAGAAAATATTAAATGAAGGAAGAAAGACATTCATTGGAAGCTTGGAGAGTACCCTCACGTAGGATGGAGAAAGTAGTGAGCTGCGGCAGCACACACACATGCACACACACACACACACGCACACGCACACGCACACGCACACGCACACACACACACACACACACACACACACACACACACACACACACACACACACTCACACACACACACACACACACACACTCACACATAATGCTATCCATGTGTAGCATGTTGGAGAATAACTGGAAAGCGCATAGGACAACATGCGGAAAGACTGCTCCTGCCAGAAAAAGACTGTGCGGCCACAAGAAGGGAGAATGGAAAAAATGGATCATGCATGCAAGCCTAGAGAGCTAGGGGATGTACACTAGCAACGCGGTTCTGTGATGAGAATATGCTGGGAAATAAAAGGACAACATGGTAGCAGCATGCAGCCACGCCTTTCTTCTTGTGTCTAGGAAAATTTGATAAATTCACAGAGAAAGAACTAATTTTGTGGAAAATTGTGAGAAGAGAGATCAAGTGAAATGGTCAACGCATGTGAGAATTATTGTAAGTACGTGTATTACTAAAACGTTCCCGAAATTGTATGCACCGAGGGCAAGCTCCTTGATAGTAATGGTCATTCAGTATGGCTTATAGCCATGGTAGAGTAGATGAAGTTGCATCTCTGAAGCGGCACATCGGCCCTGATTTCAGCCAGTGAGCAGCAGTTACTAGCACGTCTGTTTCGGTGCGCCAGTCGGTGGCCGATATAGTGAATGCCTATCCGTGATATGGTGGTGATGTGTGCTGTTTGGCCCAATGTGTGGCCAGCTGTGTTTGCGTGTGTGTGTGTGTGTGTGTGTGTGTGTTTGTGTGTGTGTGTGTGTGGAGAGGGGGGGGGGGGGGGGAGTGTTATAGTTGTAGAGTGGAGTGGCAGTGGGGCATGCCATGCCAGTGCCATGCCAGACCCGCAGATGTCCAGTAAATGCACGACTATCCCAAGCAGTGGTGTTGTCTGGACTGGATAGGCAGTGAGTGATGTACACAAAGAACATCATCCCCAGCCTATTTAGAATCCTGTCCAGTTTTAGATTTAGCATACAGACTACGGCCCCGTCTGTTATCAGGCGGTGACGGTGGAAGCGTGGGTTTGTCCAGCGCTGGTTTTACGTACAGGCTCCCGCCACGTTTGTTCGTCGACAGTTCTGGCAGTCGCGATGCGTATCGATTGCCAGTGGACGATGACGGCCGGAGTGGTTTGCGTGCCGATGACGTGGCATGCAGGCCACTGTCAGCTTGCTGTGGTCGCGCTGCCTGATCACCCTTACCTGGAGCCGTGGAAGCCACATCCTGGCTTGCCTGGAATGTTGATATGTCACTATATATACCCTCGGCAAACTGTTCCACTATTTCGCCTTTCTCAGCGTTTTCTGCTTTTCCGGCTAAACGCAGCTCGGGACATACTCGTGAGGCCTGCACATTAGGTGTGTTTGCTGGCCATGCTCGATCAAAATCGGACCAGGAGGTTGACTCCTGCACGACGTCAGCCACTGCTGTGTCCTCGCCATTTGCTGGAGCAGGCTTTCGCTTCGAGGACAGTTTTCCGAATCTGCTACCTCGCCGACTGGCAGCATCTTGTTTCAGACTTCGGCTGGCGACGTATTGGTGCTGGCTTTTCAGATTAGCGGGGTCTGTGTATCGCTCCTGTTTGCCCAGGCTTTCGGTGACTGAATACTGATCCTGGCTTCGGAGGCTTGCTGTGGTTGAGTACGCTTCCAGATTCCTGAGGCTTGCAGAGGTCGAATACGCATCCTGACTCCTGAGACTTGCAGCCGCCGAATATTGATCCTGATAGGTCCCCTCTCCTGGGTGTTCATCACCTGACAAGTCATCTTCAGTATCATATAGGAAATCTTGCACATTGGTGCAGACTGACGCTCTCTGCATGTAAGCGTCGCTATAAACATCCTCACCCTTCAAACCTGCCTGCTGAAAATTACTATTGATCCAGTCATCAGACTCAGGCTTGATGGCTTCCTCACCACCCTGCGGTTGTGAGCACATGTTTCCAGACGAGGAAATACTCATTCTGTCATCCCTGCAGGCCGACGACAACGACGACAACGACGACTGGGCCCTCAATGGCACCATGTTTAAGTATGGTCCAGTGGGTCGGCTTTTCTTCCGCTCACCAGACTCGAGCACGTGGTACGTGGGCTCAGGTTCCATTTCTCCGTGCACCATTGTATTGTAGAGGCAGACTTCTTCCCGTCCTTCTTTGCCCAGTTCTATGCCATGGTAGAGACCTTCCTCTCTTGCCAGCTCATTAGTGTCCACGTAGGTGTCAATGGCATTGCCCGCGCCACTTGTGCCCTGTCTATCTCTGCTAGAGTTGATGTAGCCGCCGAGTACAGGTGGTCCAGGCATGCTACTACCGTACAGGCACTGGTAGATGGTACGATCACGGCCACCGCCGCCGCTGCCGCTACCAGCACGCTTACCTGCTGCTGCATTACCCACTGTACCAGAACCAGATGCAGCCGCCACTGCTGCATCTGCAGCAGCAGCCGCCGCAGTGGCCGCCGCAGCAGCGGCAGCGACAGTGGCATCGCCCGGACCACCATTAAGCGCAGTATCATCGTCCGAGTAACACGCCTCACTGTCAGAGTAGTCCTGGAATAGCTCTCCTGTGGAGAGGTGAGATCTAGCCGAAGGAGATAGAAAGTCGACAGATTTGAAAGACTCTGGCATGGAGTAGACGGTCGTATCTTGGACTAGGAATGCAGAACTTCCGGTTGAATCATGCTTCGCTCTTGGCTTCATTGCCATGCGCGTTTCATAGGGTGTACCACCGAGATATTTCGATGCAGTACTGTAGATTGAGGCAGATGCACGCAAGCCCGACGACACTGTGTTGCCACCGCTCATGATCTTCTGACTGCCTCTTTTCTTTTTGAAGAGGAGACCTGCAAATGTGAGCAGGGCTATCACACTGAGGACAGCAGCTAGAATTGCCACCACTGCCGTTGATGATGTCACGGCTAATGCGTCCTCTGCACAGAATATACGTGTACATGAACATTGGCATCAACGCATGCATACGCACACACATATACACAAGCACACACACACGGACACAAACACACATAAGCACACATATACACATATACACACGGACACACAGAAACACACACACACGCGCGCGCGCGTGTGCAAACACGCACACACATGTGCACGCGCGCGCGCGCGCGCACACACACACACACACACACACACACACACACAAACACACACACACAGACGGATGTAAGTACACTTCAAGATGATAGCTGTCAGAAAAACATGCCTGGATGAACATAGCATTCCTGATAGCAGTGCCTATGATGAGCAACCACGGTAACATGAATAATCCCTGATATCAGTACGTTATGATTAGGAACAGCAGTACCACTAATCCCTAAGAGCAGTGTGGTATGATGAGCAACAACAGCAGTACCACTAATCCCTGATAGCAGTACTCTATGATGAGCAACGCCAAGAGTATATAACCCCCCAAGAGTGTGCAACTCTGCATATGGGGTCTCCGACGGCGAAAACTCACATCACGTGTCTCAGATACCTTTGTAATACGTACAAGCGTAGGATAGCGTGCGCGCAATCCGAAAATCTGGCGTGATCATGCTGGGGATTTGCATACGCGCAGTGAGTTTCTGTCAGAGAGTGCTTTTTTTAGTACTCCGTTGCTCGCTAAAAACGGGTTGGAAACGTACAACTGCGACACTGCACCGCGTGATGTGAGTTTTCGCCGTCGGCGTACCCCATAGAAAGGGTATCAGGAGTTGCACACTCTTGGCAACACCAGTAACACTAACACTACACCAAGGCCGGTAACTGCATCGTGTTCCTCAAGCAAGAACAAGCTCACTTCCATCTGGGGCGTGTGTAGATTTTCCGAACTGTATTCACCATAGCCAAACACGATTACACAGCCACAGTGTACTGTAAGTGTACACATTTTCGGCCCATTCAAATTTCGGCCTCCCAAGGCTAAAACACATTTCGGCCTCCCAAGGCTAAAACAAATTTCGGCTGCAGCACATTTTCGGCTTGTACTGCTGCTGCCTGTATACACTGTCACACTGAACCTTGCAAAACAAAATTTCATCTGCAACAAATTTTCGGCCAACTATGATCAGGCCGAAAATAGCCAGAAACAAATACTTTCCACTGATGAATGTGACAAGAAAATTAATTCAGGTAAACTTTCATGACTTCGTTGTAGTGTGGCGATGACTGCAGAATTTGTTCTCTTTATTGCTATTATAAAATTGTTGTCTCCTCGTCGATTATTTTTAAAACAAATATGCGCTGGACATTTGTTGACTTAGAGTAATCTGTAAGGTTATCAGATAAGAAAGGGTACGTACCAACACATGTTGGGGTATGGTCGAAGAGAGACTTCCCTGCCACATGCACTAAACACTTCATTGAACTGTAGTTGGTCAGCCCGAATCCAGGATCGCAGGTGATGTTGTAGTGTGATGACCGCTGTCGCAGTGTATCTCTGAACACACCCGATCCCAGTGCAGTGCCGTGTGCAATCACGGGAACGTCACATGTTGGAACTGCACACACACATACACAGACACATACACAACACACACACCGGATTATAGCCAGAACAAAAGTGAGGAGGGGGGGTCGATTATAGCCAGGACAAAAGTGAGGGGAAGTGACCATCGGACCCAACATTTAGTGATTTTACCGCCATTTTGCCGCCTTTTTGGCTGCTACTTTCACCGACACCACTAAGCAACCTACCAACTGGCATTCCATGTATTTATTCACGGGCCACTGGAACAGGCCATTGATTTGGTTTTAGAGGTAAGTAATGATTACCATGCAATGACATATGCAATGCAGCACTACTACATGTGCATGCTGTGCTCTCATCATGCATATAAAAAGGTGGAGCTCGCGTTCTGAAGCCTGGCGCATTCATTTTGAAAGGGGCGGTCAAAAAGTGAAGGAGAGCGCAGCGCCCCGCTATGTCGCTTTGCCAAGAACCCTGATACACATCCATGTACGTAACACACACAGACACATAATGCACTCAGACCCCCCCCCCCCAACACACATGTACACATGTACACACTCACGCACACCCTACACTCACACACACGCACGCACGCACGCACGCACACACACACACACACTTGTACTTGCTCACTGCCAAAACTGGTCACGTGGGTCTCCCCGGGAGAGGGGAGAGAGACTCAAAAGGAATCTTGGAAAGATGACTCAATTGGCCATTGAACCACCCAACGGCCGACACCCTCTGAAATCCCCAGACTAGGGTGGACTTGAAATGATCCCACTTATGGGCTCACCACACCTCAGTAAGTGGGTGAGGACAAGGTGCAGAAAAAGGGTTGACGGCATCAGGGTATCCGTCCCGGGATCCAACTGCAGGTACCCCTGCCCCCAGTGAAGGTAATACTTGGTACTAGTGTGGGTGGCTAAATCAGAGTGGATCTGATATAAGCTTCACTAGCACCATTGATTACACAAGAGTTAATCTAGCCAGAAGCAGTCCATGGTTAACAGGTATGTATACTTCAAATAGAAAGTATATGAACCCTGAAACCAACAAAGGTGGTAGGTACAACAATACACCTTCAAGCAGCCGAGCCCGTTGGCAACAGGCCCAACACTATCTGGCATAAGTGTACCCACCAACCGAACTAGCTGGCACCCCCACACACACACACAGACTGGGTATCTGAATACTTACCAGCAACCGTCAGGGAGATAGTTTGACTTGAAGACCCAGCCGATGTAGTCACGTTGATGGTGTAGTCTCCCTCCACTGGAGAAACTATGGCGGCATTCACGGTGAGATTGGACCAGAAGCAACCGTGGCTATCAACTAGTGAAGTTTTCACATATCTAAACACAGATTCCCCTCCACTGGCCTCGGTGCTCCAGTTAATAGCGCTTGATGACAACGGGGCCGGCTTAATAGTGGAGTTGATGCACACGGACAGAGTTACCAAATTGCCAGCTTGCGCCTCACTAAGAACCAGACCATTCTTCCCCGCAGGAGATGAAAGAACAGGCAAAGCTAGAAAAAAAGGACAACAGCCGAAACAAGGACCAAATACAAAGCAATACATTTCTCCACAACTCACAGCAATCATAAACAGGAAAAGTCTGTTCTATTGGAGACACTTTTAAAAGTCGCCTGATGATCGTGACTATGTGAAATTCGGACATGCAACACAGCTTCCCCTTCTCTCTTGTGTTCGATTGGAGATGTGATTCCGGCGGTAACAAAATAGGCCAAGATTCAACATATTTTGCTTATGAACTTAGAAGTAGCAACTACAGCGGCAACAACGCTTCTACCACTACACCTCTCCCTAACCAGCCAACCCCCCCCCCCTCAACTATCTCTCGGATCCACTAGCCCATCTTCTGCTTGTATTCTAAGACATCTGCTCTTCTAGAGGCAAATCAACAAACAATAGAGAAGGGTTCTACTTCACGTGAAATATATTGTGTGCGGAACCAGGTGCCAGGGTTGCAATCCTCAGATTTGCATTTGAAGAATTCAAAGCAGATCATCTGGTTTGTGCTGCGCTAAGACCAAGAACATGAATACTCAAGTCTACGTGTTCCACTCTAGTTATATTGAGGCGAACCAGACTCTACTCACCAAGGCAGTCTGGCACATCCCGGTACATTGCTTTTCCATCAGGTGCCACTCGACATTTAGCGTGCTGTGAAGAAGACACGCTCAACCCCTCAGCACACACTACTTCATAGTCTGATGAGGTGGTGGTCTGTGTCTGTGTGGTCTGTGTGGTGTGACCAACTGAACGAGTGTTACTGAGCACACCGGTGGGTCGTGCATGACCATGGTGGATTGCTGGTAGCTCACACAGTGGAACTATGCAGTGCAGTACATCAATACACACATACACACATAAACATACACCGATGCACATACACGTGCACACACACACACACACACACACACACACACGCACGCACGTGCACACACACACACACCCACACGCACACACACACACACGCACACACACACACACACACACACAAACAAACACACACATTCACAGCACATAAAACAGTGACAAGATAGAGAAGCGTAAGCCATGGTATACCATAATATCTCTAGGACGATCTCACAGACTTCAAACAAAATGATGACATGTTCATACTTTTCTCAATAAATAACTGAAGTCTGCTTAACTCACACAAGGAAAGTCAGCTTACAATTCTTCATCAAAATTGATCATAAAATATCTGCACCTACCTGTGATGTGCAGTGGAATCGATAATTTCGAATAGCCGGCAGTTGTTACCACCTTGACAGTGTAATGACCAACGGCTTCAGCCACCACCCCAATGTTCACGGTAAGGTTGGACCAGAAACAGCCGTTACTGTCATTCAGCGAGGTGTGCACATCGCGGAATACGGATGTCCAGCCGCTGGCATCAGTGTCCCATGATACTGCGTGAGATGATGACGGTGGGGGCCTGATGGTAGAGTTGATGCACACTGAGAGAACTGCTACACCGGAGCCATCGTCCTCACTCACTATTGAACCATTGCCTTCAAGAGGAGACGATAACACAGGTGCAGCTGGACAACAGGAACATACAAGACACACGCAAACTAGTGCTTACGCACTTACACACATAGTAGTAGACACATGCACACAAATACACACCCCCCCCCCCCCCCCACACACACACATGCGCACCCACACACACCCACACACACGCGTGCACACATGCGCACATATGCACACATACACTCAGTCGCACACACAGACACACAGATACACACCTTGGCAGGGGCGTCGGAACCGGTGCGGCAGGTGCGGCCAAAGCCGCACCAATAATTTTCGAAGTTTTTTTGCATTTCAACCTTGTTGATGGCTTGTCGACTCTTGTACAGGTACCATGTTTTACATCGACAATGCGGTGTATCATCAGCATGAATATTCTTATTTCTCCTATTATTCTGTAGCATTAAAGTATGGCGTCCCACGGAAGCGGAAAGGTGGTTCTTGACCAGGGAGTTGTACGACTCCTTGTTCTTGACCTGCCCGGTACGCGAACCCGTCGAATTTTTTTTATTTTTTTTTATTAACCCTTTCAGTGCCAAGGGGGTCAGAAAAATTCAAATTTTTCCGAGTTGAGCTGAACTCAAATTTTTCATAGCTCAGCTGTATATCCACGGATCTTTACAAACGATGGCTCTCTGGAAAGATATCATGGCCAGGCAGACAGCTGTGAAGAGAATATGCAGCGAAAATAGTCTTCCTCGCGAGGGCGCCTGAGCGAAGTCCGTTTTCTGCATTTTCGTAGCATCTGCACTTTCTCACGCGCGCGATCGATCGCAGTGCAGTCAAATTTCAACGCACGAAATTCGGACAAAGTTGGCCTGAAAGGCACTGAAAATCTCGATGTTTTGATACCCAATACGCATGGGTTGCCGCGAAAGAAATAGAGAAACCCGCGATGCGCATACGTCATGTTCTCTACACGCGACAATTGTTTGTCCGAGCGCGCGCGCTTTAGGCTTCGCCCTGGCGATATCTATCCTCACGGACACAAAGCGATGTGATGAGTCGATAGCCAAGGTCTTCCTGAAGACGTAGAGTGGTCGTTTGTAACTCTCCTGTGTGTAGAAGTGGAGATACGAATTTATTTGTACTCACATACTCAGTCTGGGCGACTAAAGTCGCCCGTGGCACTGAGAGGGTTAAAGTATGGCCTTTTAGGCCCAATTTTCTAAAACATTCACGGGGGAGGACCCCCGGACCCCCCTCTCACACTTTTGCCGCACCAATTTTAAACTGCTTCCGACGCCCCTGCTTGGACCCATGAAGGGGGGAGGGTGGTGGAGACCAGGTCTAACTATGGCCTGAAAATCCCGTGTGCGCATTTGAAGTGGCCCCCTTGTCCCTGTCAACACACACACAACTATGAAAGAATGGTATTGCCCAGGTCTGTTGGCATCATGGTTGGATTTAGCACAGCTATAGGTCAGTATACTGTACAGCTATAGGTCAGTATACTGTACAGCTATTAGATCAGTACACAGTACAGTGGAGATTGGATATAACGGCCTTGATTATAACGACCTTGATTATAACGACAGATTGAGTTTAGCGACACAATTCTGTTGCCCAAGTCGTTTAGTAAGTCCTTTGTGAAGGTCGGGTTTAGTGACATTTTGTTCTCTCCCGAAGGAGTGTCGTTATATCCAATCTCCACTGTATACTCTACAGCTATAGGTCAGCAGGTAGACAGGCTTACCATGACAATCGGGTACATTTGCGAAAACTGCCTTTCCTCCAGATGTTAATTCGCATTTACTGTGTTGTAAACTGGCTACCCGAAACCCATGCTCACATACTACCTCATAGGCTGATGAGGTGGTCGTCTGCCTCTGACCATCACTTAAGCGGTTGTTCATCAGACCAGAAGGTTGTGCATGGCCGTAGTGGATTGGTGGTAACTCACATAATGGAACTAAAGATGCACACACACAGACACAATAACAGAATACCATCCAAAACGTACACACATGCGGGTAATCAAACACATGCATATGCGTTCAAGCACACTTGCGAACACACAAACACACACACACACATGCACACACACACACACACACACACACACACACGCACGTCGCACGCACGCAAGCACACGCACGCACACACACACACACACACACACACACACACACGCACGTCGCACGCAAGCACACACACACACACACACACACACACACACACACACACACACACACACACACACACACACACACACACAAACACACACACACACACACAACCATGCATTTACACCAACAGACAGAAAGACGGATAGACACACATGCCTACATATGGAAGAAAGAGGATCCTAGTTGATAAATTGTGTGACTCAAAGTTTGATGCCGAAGCGTCATCAGACAACAGTTGTGTTGACATGGATACACATCACACCACTACTCCGCTATCTACTGTTCACAGCAATCACCTATTACAGATTGTTACATTCATATTGTCACCCTGTTCTATTTGTACCCTAATTGGATTACATACGCCGTTCCAAATCACTGTACTGTACTGTATAAGTACAAACTTTCGTTCACGAAATCCTTTGTTAGATCACTCCACTAGCAGGTTTGTTACGTACCAAATTTCGTTTTTGATCGAGGTCTGTCACCCCGAACGTCCAGAAAAAAACAGTTTGGTACAAACTTCACTTATTCCGTGTCCCTAACGCATAGAGCGAAGGTCAATTACAAACGAAAATTTGTATTTATACAGTAGGAACAGACACAGTAAGTGAGCACAAGCTTTCAATAACCCTTTAACTACTCATTATTTTCAGGATAGAATCAATTCACAGTCTACAAAATGTTGTCATATCTCTGCTCTCCTTTGGCCATTTCTCACAAACAACCACTCTCTGGAAAGCTATTGATGGCAGCTATGCACTCGGAGAAACTACAGCATCAAGCGCCATTCGTGTGTGCCACGCTTGATGGAGAATACGTTTTCAAACTCAAACAAATACGCACAGCGCGATCTGTCACGAGCGGCTCACCAATTTGCAAAATCGCGGCTCATGGAAACCAGACGAAGTTCTTAGGAAAGTGCCTATAATCCGAAGGATTTCCAGCCCCAAAACGCAGAGGTAAATGAGAAGATATCAGAGTTATTCTCAGCGTGACGGCAACTCGACATTTTTGAATGCGCATTTCGATCACGCACTAGCTTCGAGCTTCGTCGTGCGCCAATTATGCACCAATGAGTGAAAGCGATAGCTGCAGTCGATAGCCAAGGTCTTCCTGAAGCCGTAGAGCCCTCATTTGTAATGATCCGACAATAATTGAGCATGTGACGAAATATTTAGTGATCGCCTATTGCATCGATCCACGTGGATCGATATTTGAAAGGGTGGTAGCAAGACTACATAAACCAGAGTGTGCAACTCGGGATGGTTCCTGTGGGAGCATAATTCGTACAGTTTGGTACAAACTTCACTTATTCCGTGTCCCTAACGCATAGAGCGAAGGTCAATTACAAACGAAAATTTGTATTTATACAGTAGGAACAGACACAGTAAGTGAGCACAAGCTTTCAATAACCCTTTAACTACTCATTATTTTCAGGATAGAATCAATTCACAGTCTACAAAATGTTGTCATATCTCTGCTCTCCTTTGGCCATTTCTCACAAACAACCACTCTCTGGAAAGCTATTGATGGCAGCTATGCACTCGGAGAAACTACAGCATCAAGCGCCATTCGTGTGTGCCACGCTTGATGGAGAATACGTTTTCAAACTCAAACAAATACGCACAGCGCGATCTGTCACGAGCGGCTCACCGATTTGCAAAATCGCGGCTCATGGAAACCAGACGAAGTTCTTAGGAAAGTGCCTAAAATCCGAAGGATTTCCAGCCCCAAAACGCAGAGGTAAATGAGAAGATATCAGAGTTATTCTCAGCGTGACGGCAACTCGACATTTTTGAATGCGCATTTCGATCACGCACTAGCTTCGAGCTTCGTCGTGCGCCAATTATGCACCAATGAGTGAAAGCGATAGCTGCAGTCGATAGCCAAGGTCTTCCTGAAGCCGTAGAGCCCTCATTTGTAATGATCCGACAATAATTGAGCGTGTGACGAAATATTTAGTGATCGCCTATTGCATCGATCCACGTGGATCGATATTTGAAAGGGTGGTAGCAAGACTACATAAACCAGAGTGTGCAACTCGGGATGGTTCCTGTGGGAGCGTAATTCGTGCAGTACGTCATTTCTGACGGCATGGTAAGCCACAGGTACGATGAAAAGTTGCGTAACCAGTCGCCGTGGTGCAGGTCACTGAGTTTGTCCTGACTTAGGTTTTTTGATACGGATAGCCTGGTGACTTTAGGCCATCATTTTTTATATCTATGTTTCGCGTCAGTTCAACTTCCAGAATCATATGCGAGAGGTGGAAAAAAATAAAAAGTGGCAAAATAATAAAAAAGGCTCATCATCAGAGGTGTATGCACTGTACATAGCACAATAGCTCGTGCATGGTGTACATTCGAAAGAAAAATCGTACATCGAAGCACAACATCTGGGTTATCAGCATGAGTAAATATTCACTTTGGACAGTGGAGGCAACCGTTGGTGCCTATGCTTCGTTGGATTATTGTACTCAGACTTCAGCAGCGGTGCAAAGACCTCCGGAACGACGCATCCTCTCAGCTTGAGGCTGTCTGGTGTTAGCTCATAGAATATTGCTCGCAGATGCCGAACAAACGATTTACCAACGCTGGCCTCGAGGCCATTTCTGAATCCCAGTTTCGCTGTATGCAACCAGTCCACACTGATGACTCGCACGATCGTACACCCACTGTGCATGTAAGATTTTTTATTTTTTTCCGAAAAAAATCAAAACGTATGCGTGCGGACGACGCGAAACATAGCTATAAAAAATGATGGCCTTACTTGTCGGTGGATGTACGCAGCGTACACAGTCACACAAAACACCGAAATCCTGAAACTGGACGTCTAAAATCAAACAAACTTGGCTGATTTCCGCGCTATGAAACATGAAAATTTGAGCTGTACGCAAGTCGCGGCTTGGCTGACCTCATCAGGGCGACGTAGTGCACGAACTACGCTGTTTCAGATCTGATATGCACAGTTGCACACTCTGGTTTATGTACTCTTGCTGGTAGTGAGGTGGTTAACATTACTCGGGGAAAATATAATACGCAGGTTTCGAGAGCTCTGGGAGCTTTTTTTCTTATTTCAAATAATTCAAGAGGTAAAAATAACACAACTGTCGTAAGACCTGCCCTCCCCTACACAAAGCACACCAGGCACCTGCCCTCCCCTACACAAAGCACACCAGGCACCTGCCCTGCCCTACACAAAGCACACCAGGCACCTGCCCTCCCCTACACAAAGCACACCAGGCACCTGCCCTGCCCTACACAAAGCACACCAGGCACCTGCCCTGCCCTACACAAAGCACACCAGGCACCTGCCCTGCCCTACACAAAGCACACCAGGCACCTGCCCTGCCCTACACAAAGCACACCAGGCACCTGCCCTGCCCTACACAAAGCACACCAGGCACCTGCCCTGCCCTACACAAAGCACACCAGGCACCTGCCCTGCCCTACACAAAGCACACCAGGCACCTGCCCTGCCCTACACAAAGCACACCAGGCACCTGCCCTGCCCTACACAAAGCACACCAGGCACCTGCCCTGCCCTACACAAAGCACACCAGGCACCTGCCCTGCCCTACACAAAGCACACCAGGCACCTGCCCTGCCCTACACAAAGCACACCAGGCACCTGCCCTGCCCTACACAAAGCACACCAGGCACCTGCCCTGCCCTACACAAAGCACACCAGGCACCTGCCCTGCCCTACACAAAGCACACCAGGCACCTGCCCTGCCCTACACAAAGCACACCAGGCACCTGCCCTGCCCTACACAAAGCACACCAGGCACCTGCCCTGCCCTACACAAAGCACACCAGGCACCTGCCCTGCCCTACACAAAGCACACCAGGCACCTGCCCTGCCCTACACAAAGCACACCAGGCACCTGCCCTGCCCTACACAAAGCACACCAGGCACCTGCCCTGCCCTACACAAAGCACACCAGGCACCTGCCCTGCCCTACACAAAGCACACCAGGCACCTGCCCTCCCCTACACAAAGCACACCAGGCACCTGCCCTGCCCTACACAAAGCACACCAGGCACCTGCCCTCCCCTACACAAAGCACACCAGGCACCTGCCCTGCCCTACACAAAGCACACCAGGCACCTGCCCTGCCCTACACAAAGCACACCAGGCACCTGCCCTGCCCTACACAAAGCACACCAGGCACCTGCCCTCCCCTACACAAAGCACACCAGGCACCTGCCCTGCCCTACACAAAGCACACCAGGCACCTGCCCTCCCCTACACAAAGCACACCAGGCACCTGCCCTCCCCTACACAAAGCACACCAGGCACCTGCCCTCCCCTACACAAAGCACACCAGGCACCTGCCCTCCCCTACACAAAGCACACCAGGCACCTGCCCTCCCCTACACAAAGCACACCAGGCACCTGCCCTGCCCTACACAAAGCACACCAGGCACCTGCCCTCCCCTACACAAAGCACACCAGGCACCTGCCCTCCCCTACACAAAGCACACCAGGCACCTGCCCTCCCCTACACAAAGCACACCAGGCACCTGCCCTCCCCTACACAAAGCACACCAGGCACCTGCCCTCCCCTACACAAAGCACACCAGGCACCTGCCCTGCCCTACACAAAGCACACCAGGCACCTGCCCTGCCCTACACAAAGCACACCAGGCACCTGCCCTCCCCTACACAAAGCACACCAGGCACCTGCCCTCCCCTACACAAAGCACACCAGGCACCTGCCCTCCCCTACACAAAGCACACCAGGCACCTGCCCTGCCCTACACAAAGCACACCAGGCACCTGC